TAAGGGCACAGAGATGAGAAAAAGTGAGTACAGGAGTGGGGTGTCTATGGTGGGAGTGGAGCAGCAGGAGGGGATTGCCTTGGCTTCCTATACAATCAGATTTGCCTTGCAAAATTTTGGATCTTAATGGTGCTGGGAAGCCATTGGAGGACTTGGGCCGGGAGTTTGATAATCAAGTGGAAGAGGCATTGAGCATGGAGGACTGGAAGAAAGGAGGCAAGTCAGGAGGTTGTTATGGATCCAAATAATACCTGGAGGGCTTCCAAAAGTACATGGAAAAATGTAAGATCATGAAAGCAGCCAAGGGCTCTAGATTCATGGGAAGAAAGGGACTGAGAGCTGGCGGCCAAGAGGCAGACTTGCAGAATGTGCCCTTTGGTGGTGTAAATTATATATCCCTGAGTTTTTTTTTTTAAAAAAAAAAAGAGAGAGAGAGCTAAAATGTAGAGAATACTGTTAACTGATGGTACATGGAGGGGATTGTATCATTGTCATGAAACAAGTTGTATGATTTGCTGAATGTAAAAATGATGATGTGCCCTGTTAACTACTTTCACTCAATTCACAATAAAAACATAAAAAAAAAAAAATCACGAAAATATTCCACCAACTTTTAAAATCTCTTTCATATGTAGCAGAGACTAGGCCATGCTTAGTGTCCTAAAGTGTGTATACATGTGTCTTTGTGTTTTGAGAGAGGTCAAATCAGGAACTGCTCCCTGTTAGGGTGACCAGGTGGAACACAGATGAAGCACATCCACTCTGTACCCCATGTTTTGCAGCTGCCCCTGGGCACTGAGAAACCCAAGTGTGAGCTGGCAGGGACAGTCAGAGCCATGGTGTCTGATCCTAGGGTTTAGATGTGGGTCCAATGACCAGGGCTTTCAGAGGAAGTGAGAAAAACAGGGGCATCCACAGCTTTTCATAAATCAAATGTATGCACTTTAAAAAAGCTATCCTTAGGAGTGTTTATGCTTAAGTCATTAACTTAATTTGGAATATAATTTGGAGATAGGAAGTCAATTACTGAAAGAAATGACTTAAAGATTCTGAAGTGATTTTCTCTTAGGAATGGGAATTAGACTTCTATAAACCTTTGAAACTATCATAGTTCTAAAACCATGAACTGTAACATGCAAAATAGAACTTCAAATTCCTACAGAATTCACTTATTGAACCTACGGACGCTGGAAAAGTCCCTGACTATGGCTCTGAGTCACTCTTCAAACCTTAAATTGAAACCATCCCTTAAAGTCACCTTTAAATTAAGTGACAGTTTAGCTCAAAAAGTAAAGATTGTCACCCTAGAGTACTGTGTACTTAAAAAAAAAAAAGATGTAAGACCAAATGATCAACAGTTAATTTAAAGCCCAGATCAAAATGTTGGGGAACAGGAAGTTTAAATTAACGCGACTGAAACTAGAACAAAAACAGATCACATGTGAAGAATGTAATTAGTGCCACTGTGGATTATGTATAGAATCAGAAATGGGAGCAGGTTTTTCTGTGTTTACAAATTTCACCAAAATAAAATATCAATAAAAAGTGATAGTATTCTTTTTGTCTTTTTAATGTCATTTGGTGAAGTAAAATGCTGTTGAGAACCCATTGTTGTTGTTAAGTGCCATTGAGTTAGTTCCAACTCCTAAAGATCCTATATAGGGTTTCCGAGGAGCAGCGGGTGAGCTTGAAGGGCCGACCTTACGGTTCAATCAGACTTTGCAGTCCACCACATTAACCCACAGCGTCACACCACTACTCCTGTTGAGCCCATGTTGTTGTGAAGCTACATCGAGCTGGCTCCGACCCATAGCGACACTGTATAGGATGTCCGAGGAGCGGCTGGTGAACTTGAACCGCCAATCTTGCAGCTCAAACTGCTTTGCAGTCAGGCCCATTAACCCACAGCGCCACACCAGTCCACATAACACCCTGAAACCCCTAACCTGGGAGCTCCTGCCAAGACCAGATCGCCACGGACACTGCGCGCCTGCAACACTGCGGTCGGTCGGCAGAGGTCAGGCGAACTCCACGAACGGCCCGCTCATTCAAGGGTGGAGCGCTCCTCAGGAAGACCCCTGGACCTTCCCTAGGCTGCAGATCTCAACATATGGATGTGTCCTAAGGTCTCAACTCCGTCGGGCGGGACATAATATGGGTGCTCAAGAAGAAGATGCCCCTTAGAAACCCCCACGCCGCATTTACCACCAAGGGCTGGGGCGTGGCTGCTTCACCCACTGCGGGTTCACGCACCTTACTGGCCTTTTCAAAGGTTCATGCAGTACCTTACTTGCCTGCTACGTCGGGTCAGACTATTGCTAAATTTAAGGGTTTAGAATTTGAACTCTTTAGGCCCCAGATCCTTTCTGAAGGGCTGCAGTGCCTCTGAATTAACCCCTGAAGACGGTTTCATTGGATGCAGAGTCTGAAAAAGGTTATAACCAATCCATCCTTGGATAAAATATCCCCTTAGTTCTGTTACCACCCCACGGTGCAGGCAGTCAGAAGACAAATAAGCCTGGACGCAACAGGGAGGGAAAGTGGGCCGATAGGAGGCATCCCCAGGCAGTAATGCAGGCAGGTTGTGCTGAACAGATCCATTTGCCCAAAGTAAACAACCGAAAACGCCAAGAACCAAAGCAGAGGTGCTCCCTATACTTCCGTTTCTAGCTCAGGCATTTTGTGACTGTGTGTGGTTTTATATACTTATGCATATCTTTTAACGTTTATCTTCTACACTTACAGTATCAACAAGATTATCACAAGATCCCCAAGTTGCCCGGACTCTGGCAGGTAACACTCATAGGCAACACTGGGCTGGGTGACATCCCACTGCCAAATTCCAGCTATACATAAGACCACCCAGACCACTCATTTAACCTCATTCATCTCCAAGGCAGCAGAGAGGCAGGATGAACTCGGGAGTCTTCACCTCAGGGTGGAGTGAACTGGTATTAGTGAGGATCTATCCCCATCTGTCTGAAGCTCCAGGTTGGGAATAGCTCTTGGCTCCAGGCTAGGGCCCAAAGCCAGGACCATGGGATGGTAGAGCTCAGGGTAGTGGATAGACCAATCACAGTCTGGGTGTTGAGGAGGGCAATACATGAAAAGGGGGAGGAGGTGGAAGAACAAAGTAGATATGGGGACACTCAGGCAGTTTTGCATGGGCTAAATGGGACAGAGGTAAATAGTGATGTATGCTCTAGAAAAAAATGTTTTTGAAAAAAAAAGGACTGGGAACAGAGAAAACCATTTCTTTCAGGAACTTAGATGAGCTGGCATGGCATTCCCAACCTTCCACACTCACACTGCTCCACCAGCCTGGCCTTCTCAGAATACCCCCATTTTGCCACAGCCAGACTTGGATTCTAGCTCCAGACTCTGGGAAAGACATATTTCTTCTGCCCACCAAGGAAAGACATATATATATTTTTTAATGTGAATTGAGTGAAGGTTTACAGATGTGAAAATTTTACTTTCAACAAATCATACTGCTTCATTTCAATGACTGCAAGGCCCCCATGCAACAACAGTCCTGTGTCCTCCACCACTTTCCCATCCCATCCCTTCTCAATTTTGTCCTTTTGATTTTGAATGATTGACCATTCCACGGTGAGCGTACATTACTAGTGTTGTTTTTCCCCTTATATACCTATCTACTGCTTGGCTGAAAATTGGACCACAGGGTGAGTTCCTGAAGGGTGGTCCAGAGTCAGAGTCTAGGCTTCCTCCACTCCATTTCTGACCAGTAAGCCATGTCTTTCTGTTTTTTAATTTACAATTTTGAGTTTTGTTCCACATTTTCTCCTACTTTATCTGGGACCTTCTAATGTGATCCCTTTTCAGAGCAGTTGGTAGTGGTGGGAAAAGCATATTTCTTGATCTTTTTAAAGACTTGAGGATTCCAGAAACTTATAAGCATCTACCCTCTGGGCTTTTTTCTTTAAAATTACTGGAAGTTCAGAACTCCTTTCTCCTGAGTACCCATCCGTCATCCCTCCCCCGTGACCAATGAACAGCCAGCCATGTTCCCCAGAACAGGGCTAAAAGCCAGACAGGAGGTCGCAGCAAGTAGATTGTTCTTTCCCCAAACACTAGCTTACCGACATATGGGTTTGCTTCACAATAAGCTTAACAAAATGGCTGCAGCCAATGTGCAGTTTTAACAAAATTAGCCATAGGATGTCCAGAGAAATGTATGTAGGCAGCCTCAGCTGGAGTTGAGCCAGTCAACCCAGGCAGGGCCTATGTCTGCCACCAAGAGTTAGCTGCTGACAGTCACATGGCTGGCCTCACAGTGCCCATGGCAAAGCAGGCTACTGTGGAGGCCAGACTAGCACTGAACAGCTCTCCGCCTGCGCTCTTGCCTCTGGTCCACAAGGGTGATCAGCAGCACAAGTCGCCAGAGTCCCACCCTAAAGAATGCCCTGGCGGGCTGCTGCAGAATCCCCCTCACAAGCTGTTGGGAGCAGATGCCTCTAGAATCAGGCAGAAACGAGAGCAGGCTCTCCTGTACCCTCTGAAAGTTCAAGCATATAGAAAAGGGCAATGCTTGTCTTTCCCAAGAATTGTTGTTGTTGTTAAATGCCATCGAGTCAATTACGACTCAGCGACCCTATATTGGGTTTACAAGGATTAGCTAGTGGGTTTGAGCTGCTGACCTTCAAGTTAAAATCAACCTTGTGCTCCAGTGCTTATCCTACAGCGTCATACCAGGTAGAAGGGGAGAAGGAAGCTGTCAGCCTAAAATTTGACTCAAAATCTGGGAGGAAATTCCACTAAACAAGCCCAATGGAAGTTAGGCAAGTGAGAAAACCCAAAAACCGCTAGTGGTTAGGTCCCTGCTCCCATTTACAATGGCAGTCACACTGATCCTTTTAAAGGATACCCATGTGCTAGATATGAGGTTTCTGGTGAACTTGAGCCTTGGCTTTTTGCCAAAGATTTACCCAAAGGAAAGAGGTGGCCACTGGCCAACCATAGGGAGTAGAGTGATCCATCTCAGAAGGTGTACAGCAAGGGCAGAGTCACCAAAACCTAGCCCCAACAGTCCCCGGAAAGCCCTGCTTCCTGCCAAATCCATTTGGAGTCATTGAGCACTTTTCAAGGTTGACCGGAAGCCCCAGCTGTGAGGCCCACAATACTTGGCAGCTGCTGTAGAGAACTCAGTTATGGAGAGGCCAGAGGGCTGAGGCAAAAGGGCAGGTAAGCAGCTGGGACTGCTTTGGGCAAGATACAAGAGCTGCCAGGTCTCTACTTCCAAAGAAAGGCCTCTAGGTGCTGGGAACAGTGGTGAAGGGTCTTGGGGCTAGTGGAAGTCTGCGTTGAAGGCTCTGCCGATGACCAGCCGCCGCACCTCGCTGGTCCCAGCCCCTATCTCATACAGCTTGGCATCTCGCAGAAAGCGACCCATGGGAAAGTCGTTGATGTAGCCATTGCCACCTGTAGCCAGGGTGTGGACAGAGAAGATAGAACAGAAGTGATGGACAGTGGGCCAACACAAAGAAAGCCAAGTGTATATGAAACAGGCTGGAGCTGGAGAGACAAACTAAAGGAAGCAGCAACAAGAGGTGGTGAGAGGGAGGGGTCCAGGGAATATCTGAGAGACGGAAGGGGTAGCAAAGGGTTGGGAAGCCATCTAGAGTGCTGGGTCACCCAGTAAAAAGAAGAGAACCACTGACAGACATGGAAAAGAAGGCACAAAAGACACTAGCGTAGTACCAACTAGGTTCCAGTCACAGGGAGGTTGTTATGTAATTACTTTAGTCAGTAAATGGCAGAGCCGGGATTCAAACCTAGGCTGTCTGGCTTGAGTCTGTGCTCTGAACCACTGTGCAGCATTGAAGTAGGGCTGTTCTACCTCTGAGGCATCTCTCATTCCCCATTTCCTAATGTCCATGGGGCTCGGGGAGAGGAAAAGCAGAGGGTGTTGTTGCTGAAGATACTAGCAACTGCAAGTATGGCCTCTAACAATTTTCTCATTTGCTTTCCTCCCATGACCTCCTAGAATTGAAGCAAAAAGATCTTAAAAGTTCCCGCTCAGTTACAAGGGGGTTTCAAAAAGTTCATAGAAAAGTTCCATTAACTTTTCATTCCATAACTTTTCAAAGCCCCCTTGTATGGCTGGCTTGGCACAGATAAGTAGAGAAGAAACTACAGGTGCTCCAAGGGTAAGCATAGTCCTGCAGTGCCGGGTGGGGACCACTCACCGAAACACTGGATGCCATCCAGAGCTACCTGCGTGGCGCACTCGGCTGAGTACAGAATCACAGCTGCACAGTCCTGTAGAGGGAGACCTAGGGTCAGCAGACCCCACCCACAACCGGCCCACTGCCTCGACCTCTCCCACCTGAGGGTCAGCCCTTACCTTGGCGGTGTAGTGGCCCTCATCACAGGCCTTGGCAACATTGTAGACGTACTGCCGACATGCCATGAGGCGGGTATACATGTCAGCCATCTTCCCTTGCATCAGCTGGGCACAAAAGTGGTGGGGAGGTCATGTCAATAGCCTCTCGGAACCCTTTCCCAAGTTACCGAAAGCAGGCCAGCACTAGAAACCTGACAGCAAGGAATGGGCACACTGGGCAGAGAGAGGGGCTGGGACTTGCCTAGGATGACTGTGGTGCAGTGAATTACTTAAGGTTTCTTCTAGCCATAGGCTTTGCAAACACCCACCAGATGGGTCTGGGTAATAGAAGGTGGAGGAGATGCTGGTGGATGATATGACTCACTTGTGGGTGATTGTTAACAGGACTGTGGTTGTAAACACTTGGGAGTGTAATGAGGGAATTGGTCATCCTGCTGGGTTTTAAATGAGCATTTCAGAAGCAGGAGGGGGATCTCACTACTATCAAAGAAGAGCCAGGAGTGGAGCACATCCTTTGGACCCCAAGATCCCTGCGCATTGAACCTCCTTGACCAGAGACAGAAAGCTGTGACTCTGGAGGAGCAGTAGAAGACAGCAGCAGCAGAACCAAGACCCAGAGCATGAGACAGAGCAGTGGACTTTGCGGCCCCAGGAGCAAGTAAAGCTGAGTAACTTTGGGCAGGTGGCTTGCTTGCAGGATGGGGTAACTCCAGACACTTAATTTTGGTAGCTAGAATTGCTGACCCAAAGAGCTAGAGCCAAGTGCCCTCAGGCTGAGGCTTATGGTACAGTAGTGTGCCCTGTGGATATTTATCAGCAGCCCTAACAGAGCTTTCAGACACTGGCCAGGCAGAGAGTCCTGCCTGTGGGCACAGCTGACGAGAGGCTGTCCTGACTAGAAGTGTTTCCTGAGCATTTCTGACTCTGAATGAATCTGTTAACGTCCCTGATAAACCCTGTACCTGTGAGCATGGTGCCCTAGTTAGGTGTGATCATTGCAGTGAATTATGGAACCCAGTGGCGTAGAGCATACTATGGGAGGGAGGGATGACAGCTGCCATTTCACTGTGGACTCTGCACTCGGAAAGGCCCTCGTGCCCTCCAAAACCATCCACCAAAATCCTCATCAATTTCCTATAGCTTCTCAGTCCAAAAACTGGCTAGAAATGTCACTCCCTTCCCTGACGCCTCTCCATGTCCCTGGCTGGTGCAAGAGGTTAAACAAAAGGAAGATGATTGAAGTTCACTCAGAGGCACCTCAGAAGAAAGGCTGGTGATCTACTTCCTAAAAATTAGCCACTGAAAACCCTATGGAGCACACTCTGACACACACAGGGTTGTCACTGCGTCATCACTGACAGCAGCTGTTGTTCTCCACAACCACAATACTTCACCCTCCAACTTCCTGTCTCCAAATACAATTAATCCTAAACAGGAAGTGAGGTGACAATGCAATATATTTCCTAAAAAATTCCATAGCCAGGAAGCATGCTGACAAAGGCTACCTACCTTTCCAGCAACGAATCTAATCCTGCTCAACCAAACCAAACCAAACCAAACCAATAGCCATCGAGTTGATTTCAACTCAGAGCAATGCAATATAGAATTCCCGAGACGGAAAATCTCCATGGGAGCAGACAGCCTCATCTTTCTCCTGAGAAGCAGCTGATGAGTTTGAACTACTGACCAAATCTTGCTGCTGTCATTTCTGACTCATATTAACCCTCCATGAAGTTTCTGCAGCCACCACTCATCTGTCAGTTTGTCGTACTGTGGTGACTTGTGTGTTGATGTGATTCCAGAAGCTATGCCACAGGTATTTTAGCAGGGTCATACATACTGGACAGGTTTCAGCTGAGTTTCCAGATGAAATATGACTAGGAAGAAGGAGAGACAGACTACTTCCAAATATTCAGTCACTCAAGACCTTATGTTCACTACTATTCAGCAGTGGAAACTATCAGCACCATAATACTGAATACTGAAACATGATGAAGAACACCAGAATATTGTCAGATATAGTGTTGGAAGATGGGCCCAGGTTGGAAGGCACTCAAAATACAACTGGGAAAGAGCTGCCTCCTCAAAGTAGAGTTCACCTCCTCAAAGCCTTTGAGACTTTCATTTACTGATGGGGCACAACTCAAAATGAAGAGAAACAGCTGTAAACAACCATTAATAATCAGAACATGGAATGTGCAAAGTATGAATCTTGGAAAACTGGAAATTGTCAATAAATAAATAAATAAAATGGAACAGAAACATAGATATTGTAGGCATTAGTGAACTGAAATAGACTAGTATTGGCCATTTTGAATCTGACAATCACATGATTTACTATGCTGGGAATAACACATTGAAGATGAATGGCATCGCAATCATCTTCAAAAAGAATATATCAAGATCTGTCTTGAAGTATAACAATGTCTGTGATAGGATAATAGCCACATGCCTACAAGGAAGATCAGTTAATCCACTATTAATCAAATTTATGCAACAACCTCAAAAGCCAATGATGATGAAATTGAAGAATCCTACCAACTTCTTCAGTCTGAAATTGATCAAATATGTAATCAAGATGTATTGATAATTACTGCTGATTGGAATACAAAGGTTAGAAACAAAGAGGAAATCAGAAGTTGGAAAATAGGGCCTAGGTGATAGAAATGATGCTGGAGACTGCATGATAGAATTTTGCAAGACAAATGACTTCTTCACTGCAAATACCTTTTTCAAACAACATAAAAGATGACTATATACATGGACTTCACCAGATAGAATACTAGGAATCAAATTGACTACATCTGTGGAAAACGATAGTGGAAAAGCTCCATATCATCAGTCAAAATAAAGCCAGGAGCAAAGTGTGGAACCATGAATTCAATTGCTCATGTGCAAGTTCAGGCTGAAGTTCAAGTCTACGAGAGCCAAAATATGACCTTGAACTCATCCACCCGAATGCAGATATCATCGGATTTGATGCATTAGACACTAAAGACTGAAGACCCAAAGAGTTGTGTGATGACATCAAGAACATCACACAGGAAGAAAGCAAAAAGTCATTAGAAGACAAGAAGTAAAAGACCAAAATGGATCTCAGAAGAGAATCTGAAATGTGTTCTCCAGTGTAGAGATGCTAGAGCAAATGGGAGAAATGAGTAGATAAAAGACCTGAACAGAAAATTGTAAAGGTCAGCTTGAGAAGACAAAGTCAAATATTATAATGAAATGTGCAAAGACCTGGAGTTAGAAAAATAAAAGGGACGTTCCCTCAGCATTTCTCAAGCTGAGGGAACTGAAGAAAAAATTCAAGCCTCGACTTGTAGTATGAAAGAATTCTATGGGCAAAACACTGAATGATGCAGAAAACATCAAGAATACACAGAATCACTGTACCAAAAAGAAATGGTCAATATTGAACCATTTCAAGAGGTAGCATGTAATCAAGAGCCAATGACGCTGAAGGATGAAGTCCAATGTACATTGAAGGCATTGGCAAAGAACAAGGGCACCAGGAATTGATGAAATATAAATTGTAATCTTTCAACTGATGTGGCACTGGAGGCACTCACTCATGCTAAGAAATTTGGAAGACAGTTACCTGGCCAACTGACTGGAAGAGACCCATATTTGCGTCCATTCCAAAGAGAGGTGATCCAACGGGATGCGTAAATCATAGGACAGTATCATAATATCACATGCAAGTAAAATTTTGCTAAAGATAATATAAAAATGGCTGCAACCATATTTTGACAGAGAACTTCCAGAGGTTTAAGCCAGATTCAGAAGAAGATGTGGAATGAGGGATTATCATTGCTGAGATCAGGTGTGGATCTTGGTTGAAAGCAAAGAATACCAGAAAGATGTTTACTTGTGCTTTGACTACGTAAAGGCTTTTGATTGTGTGGATCGTAACAGACTATGGACAACACTGAGGAGAATGAATATTCTGGAACACTTAATTGTGCTCATGAAGAAACTGTACATAGACCAAGAGACAGTTGTTCGAACAGAACAAAGGAACACTGACTGGTTTTAAATTAGGAATGGTGTGCACCAGGTTGTATTCTTTCACCAGACTTATTCAATCTGTATGCTGTGCAAATAATTCAAGAAACTGGATTATGTGAAGAACATGGCATCAGGATTGGAAGAAGACTCATTAACAGCCTGTGATATGCAGATGATACATACAGCCTTGCTTGCTGAAAGTGAGGAGAACTTTACGCAAGCCATGGTATTTTCAATAACCTCATAAGCACGTGAAAGCTGGACAGTGAATAAGGAAGACCAGAGAAGAATTGATGCATTTGAATTATGGTGTTGGAGGAAAATATTAAAAATACCATGAACTGCCAAAAGAATAAATAAATTTGTTTTGAAAGCATTCCAGAGTGCTCCCTGGAAGCCAGGATGGCCAGGTATCATCTCTCATACTTTGGACATGGTATCAGGAGGGACTAGTCCCTGGAGAAGGACATCATGCTTGGTGAAATGAAGGGTCAGAGAAAAAGAGGAAGACCCCAATGAGATGGATTGACAGTGGCAGCAGCAATGGGCTCAAACGTAGTAACAATCGTGAGGTTGGCGCAGGACCAGGCAGTGTTTCATTCTGTTGTGCATAGGGTCACTATGACTTGGTACTGACTTGATGGCACCTAACAACAACAAACTTCCCACAAAGCAGCTTGTGGGTTTAAATTGCTAACACTGCAGTTAGCAGTCCAGTGTTTATCCTACAGCAGAGCCACCCCAGAACTCCTGCAAGAGGACAATAAAAGTCGTCAGCGCATGCCCTGTTTCCTCATTTATTCACTAGGAAAGTATTAACCCAATGAAAGTGTATACGTCAACCAAAACATCCCACTTACCTGGAAGTGGCCGATCTTCTGGCCGAAGGCTTCTCTCACATGTAGGTAGGGAATGGTGTGGTCAAGGACAGACTGCATGAGCCTGCCAGAGAGAGAAAGACACTGGGGAGGGGTCTCATTGTCCTACCACTGCCACTATGGGCAGCAAAAGGCCAACGTGGGGAGGTGTTGGGGAGACTCAGCAAGATAAGGAATTGGAGTCCCAGAAAGGAAAAAAGGAATGTAAGAAACTCATCTTCCTTCCCTATTATGGTGCCCATGTTCCACCTAGCATATATGCCCCTTCCTCTTGAGCCAGGCATGGCAGTGGTAAAGCCTGGGTGGTGCATGGGTATTAGAGCTCAAGCATCCTATTTCACATCCTTGAATAACTAAGCAATATTGTTCCTTAGGCCTTAGCTCTATCTCTTCTGAGTAAAGAAATGACACATGGGAAACAGAGGTTTCTTTTGTTCGTAGGGGAGAGAGTGCATTTCCTTGTCCCCACCCCCACTTCCCCAAAGAGAAGGCATACTGCTGCTTCTGATGGCACAAACTATCAAGGAGCCCTTAAGAGCCCAGCTTCTAACACTTACCCGAGCGGTCCTCCAGCCAGCACCAGCCTTTCCAGGTCCAGCCCACTCATCAGCACGTACACGCCCTTACTCAAGTGGCCCAGAATGTTGGGAGCTGCAAGGAACATAGCTGGTCAGGGGTAGGAGGACTGTCCACAGCCTCCTCTTTTTATGAAAGGTAATGTGGTAATGTGGCTTTCACACAAAGGTACGAAAATAGGTCATTTGACCTTCAGCTAGGATTCTAGGTGAGAACAGAAAAGATCCAGTTTACCACTTCAAGGCAGAAATGGAGTTTCCTAAGAGGAGCTTGTTAGAGGGACCATCATACCACCACAAGACCAGATACAAAGCTCCAAGTTGTTCCATCATTTCCCTTCTCCTGGGATACTGTGGATATGAGAACCAATGAAGCTAGTTTGGATTCCAAGTCAGCAACCCCCTCCTCATTTGTCTTTTTTTTCCCCTCTCTTTGCTAAACTCGTTCAGAGAACCAGCGTGACCATCACTGCAATTTGAGATACTCCCTACCTCCCCCACACATCCTGCTCCCTTTCTGGGTTTTCTCTGAGGTATAGCCTCAGGCAGGACCTCCCCCCAGTTCTGAGGGCAGACAGAGAGATAGTGGGTCAAGATGATGAAAGCAAGAAATGGGGAAAGCAGAGAAAGTAAGAGGCCAGCAAGGCCAGTGTGAACAGTCTGATTCCTAGAACACACACACACACAAAGACCAGAGGCATCAAACTCCGCCCATGCCCAGCAGCCTCCAGAGATTCAGGGGAAGACCAGGTGTCTGGGGGACATTACAGTCCTTCCTGGCATGAAAAGTGAGGGCTAGGCCAAGACCAAGGCCAAGTGGGTTCTGCTTTCGGGGCACATTAACTATGAGCCAGTACGGTTGTGATGGCAGGCACCAGGCTCCAGAAACTTGTTCTCCACATCCATGTAGCTAGAGTGAGCCAAATTTCCTGCTACCATCACTTTAAAGAACCTGGTGGCTTAGGGGAGTCCCTTCACCACTCAACTGAAGGTACTTGGACTTGTAGCCTCAAGTGCCACAATAAATGAATTAGATGGCTAGAGCCACGACTCAGGATAGAGACATCAACAGCCTGGGAATATCATTAAACCGTGGTAGAGAAGCATAAGGTCTACGTGTCCAGTGTGCAGGAACCTCTTAAGTTCTTTTTATACCTGTATCCATAGAAGAACCAGAGAATTGCTCTGATCCAATGCCCCAGGTGGTGCTTTCAAGATGCTTTGTCCAGGATATGGGCTACTGACAGAATCGCTGAGCACAGAACCAGCCTATCCAGCCTGACACTGGATGGCCAGGGGCAGGAACCCAAGTACATAAAGCTGTCTGAATGTTCCTGTCGGCAAAAGCGTCTCACTGACCTATCTCGATGTATGCTCCTGTAGTTAAGACATACTTTTGCGGGGATAACAGACTGTGGGGGAGAAGTATGGTCTATGGCAGAGGCCCAAAGCAAACCTAAGCCTCACTCACAACTGACTGGTGTGCCAGTTTCCCCACTACGACACCTGGTGTTGGTGTCAAATTTCTATTACACTTCAGCAAGCAAAATGCTCCAACTCAAACTGAACTGCCTTCTTTCCACCGAGTCCAGTGTCCCTGAGCTCATTCAGATGGCTTTTAGCATCATTAATGAAGAACTTTTACAGGCTGTACAGACAAACATACAAATAAGACAGTCTGAAGAACCAACTCAAGCACAGTGTGTTTTCCACATTTGATCTTAATCACAGTCAGGCACAAAACATCAAGAGCTCTGTAGGAAGGACAGCTGTCCAGCAGTCCTGGGAGCACATGTACGGTCCAGGGTGTACTCATAACAGTGGTAAATCCAGTCAGCCACTAACTAGAAAAGCAGCTTTCTTAGTGTGAGAAAAGCCATAGCAGCATGTGATGGCGTCAGGTTGGGGGCTCCCCCATTCTCAGATACTCACCAGGAACCTTGCAGTCCTCAAAGATTAGCTCACAGGTGTTAGAGCCCCTCATCCCCAACTTGTCCAGCTTCTTAGAGGTGCTAAAGCCAGGCATGCCCTTCACATGAAACAGAAGGTGGCCCCAATTACAGATAAGCCCTTCCCAGGGGGATAATAAGGGATGGCCCCAAGGAAGGTGTCCACCTTCCCATCAAGGCCCCGCATTGGCAAGGTACACTAGCACCTTCTTTGGCAGTGGGGAGATTACTCCAATTCTGTAACCTCTAATAGCACTATGAGCCCACCCTCATCCCAGCCTCCTTCCCACTGAAACCCCCAGTTCCCAGAGCCTTCCTTACCCTCCCTAGCTCAGGGGAAATCACCTTCCAAGAAACATTCAATAGCTCATTCAACTCATTGGTTCCCTAGGTCTTTGGCCAGTAAAAGCTAACTGAATCTTACTCAGGCTCAATCTAGCTGTCTGCTTGCTTTGACCCAGGCTTGTGATGTAATATGTTCCCAGGTAGAGTTGTTCCCTTCCCCTCCACGAAAGAGTGGAGTTTATGACCTTAAGATCGCCAACCCTAGCTGGGCTCTTTTGGTTAGTCTAGGTTCTTCTCCTCTAATCTCAGTCAGAAACTTTTCCACATCCTATGGAGGGTACTGCAAACCTTTACCACTCCACTGAACTCTACCAGCTCCCGAGCCAAGCCTCAGACTCTGTGGTCTACAACTGGAGTCATTAGAAAGGTGGTTCCTCTGCAACCACCTGTCCCATTCTCATACCCACCACCCCAACTCACCAACGGCTTTTACTCACTCTCTTCTACCAATCTATTTCTCCCTTCTCTTAATTTCCTTTCTTCTTGTATTGAAAACTTTGCTCAGTTTGCCCCCAAGATTTTAATATTAGCTCCTGTTCTAGTTCAGTCTCGTTTATACTGCCAATATTTTTGAAGGTACAGTCTTCATTCACGGTCTCCATTTCTATCCACCTCACACCACAGCTGGTGTCCTCCAGTTTACCAATGTCATACTAATAGCAAAGTCCAGCAGCTTCCTTTCAGGTCTACTCCCTGACCTGTGTGTCTGTGGACGTGGATACCTCACCATCTTCAGACCTGGCCCATCTTCCCTGGACCCCTCAGATTCTGCTTTATGGTCACCCTCTCTTCCTTACACCTCTGTCCCAGGGAGCCCTGGCAGAGCACACAACACTGACTGTACTTGCAAAGGCTGAAGGGAGCCATCTCTGGTACCACTGTATTTAAATGGGAAGACCTCCTGTACACATATCCATCTTCACTCACCTTCTCCACGATGAAGGCTGTGATGCCACGAGAAGCTGGCACAGCAGCCATATCTGTCTTGGCATAAACAATAAGGACATCTGCATCGGGGCCATTGGTAATCCAGAACTTGTTGCCATTCAAGATGTAGTGATCTCCTACAGGCAAAGTGGTTAGCTGTTTGCTCAAGCTGTCATGACCTGTCTCAGGCAGTCACAAAACTCAGGCTGAGGCAGCTGCTCAGCAGGGAAGTAGTTCTGGGAACCCAACAGAGGCCACTCCCAATTGCTGCTCCCTCCTGTCCTGTTGCTATCAAGTCGATTCCTAGTGATCCCTGTAGGAAAGAGTAGAACTGCCCATAGGGATTCCAAAGCTGGAAGCAGACTGCCACAGTTTTCCTCCACAGAGCGGCTGCTGGGTTAGAACCACCAAAAACAGATTTGGGATAGCAGCTGATATTTAACCCCAAAGGCACTGTTGCTCCCTAGACCTGGATAAAGTCTGTTCCTCTGCCCTTCCAGCTCCCAAGAGTAACCTCACCTTTCTTTTCTGCTTTTAGCTTCATGGAGACAACATCAGAGCCAGCATTGGGCTCACTCATGGCCAGGGCTCCAATGTACTCACCGCTGATCAGCTGTTAGGAAAATCACAAAGGGTTTGTTATGACTTCAAAAGTACCCTACAGGAGCTCACGTAACTTCTCCTTCTTGCCTGTCCACATATGTTCCTTCAAGCTTCTCTTTCAGACCATGGCATTAGTAAAGTCCTAGGAAAGAAGCCGAGTATCTACAGGCTACAATCACTCTCCTATGATTGGGAGCTAGTCTTCTTTTTCCATTTCTTAAAAATGCTCTTAAACGTAAAACCTAAAACTAAAAAGACTATCAAGGAAAAACCAGGGATAAACTTAGGAGTCCTAATACATGACATAAATAAACTATCTCAGACATAACTAAAAACACACAAACAGCAGAAGACAAACTAGATGGCTGGGGCTTCCTAAAAATTACACACTTGGGTACATCAAAAAACTTTTACCAAAAGACTGAAAAAGAAAACACACAGACCAGGAAAAAATTTTTGGCAAAATATATCAGACAATAAATGTATAACGTAAAACTACAAAGATCATCAATGAAAAAAATCCCTATTTCTTTCAACAAACTTAGGCTCTAATACATGGCATACATACACTAACAAACATTGCAAAAAACACACAAACAGTAGAAGACAAAATAGATAATTAGGACTCACTAAGAATTAGAAACTTATGTGCATCAAAAGATTTTTCCAAAAAGTAAAAAGGGAGCCCAGAGACTGGGAAAAATTTTTTGCAATGACATATCAGACATGGGACTAATCTCTAAAATGTATAGAAAACTTGTCCTGGTGTGGTGCTGCAGGTTAATGCGCTGGACTGCAAGGTCGGTTTGAAATGCAAGGTCTGTGGTTCAAACTCACCAGTTGCTCCTAGGAATTTACAGGTTAGAGGGTAGACACATGTTATCTTGGGTGACAGGACGGGCAATATACAAGAAAAGGGAGAGTGGCAGATGAACAATAAAGACAAGACTAGGTTTGCATAGCCTAAATGGGATAGAGGTAAACAGTGATTATATACAACCTTGGGACCTGTTCCATTGATACCTGTTGACCTTGAGATGACAGAGAGAAGAGAAGAGCTGGCTGGTCTGAAGTTTAGGGAGATGTGTGAACTCCCAAGCCCACAGGTGCTGACCTAGCCACTGGGGGCTAGAGTTGAGAGTTAAGGATGCCAGCTGGTCTGAAGTGCTGGGAGACATGAGTGAACTTCCAAATTTGCAGCTAGTACCCATTTGACCTGGAGTCCTGGTGTGATGCTGTGGGTTAATGTGCCAGACTGCAAAGCTGTTTGAACTGCAAGGTCGGTGGTTCAAGCTCACCAGCTGCTCCTCTGAAACCCTATACAGAGTTGCTATGTGTTGGAATCAACTCAACAGCACTTAACAACAATACCCATTTGACCCAGCTTGGCTGCCAGCTGACCAGAACTCAACCAGATGAGATAAACATGCTTGATATTGTGAGCAAGTGTTAATTACTAGAGTTTGATGAACTGGACCTTTGCTTATGGATGCAGTTGCTCAAAATTCCAACTGGAATGGAAGGATTCTTCATCTCAAAGAACAAGTTTGCGTCCTCAGTGTACTGGGTTAATAGGTACAGGCAATCAAGACATTGACTATCAAAACTGGGGGACTATAAAGGCATGAAGTGGCTGGCTTACAAGCTTTCTTTCATGAGTGTGCTTTGTTTCATAATGAGGGGGATGAGGTAGAATCCACACTGAATAGTTCTCCTCTTCTCAGTTGGATCTGGTGAAAGGGTGCGGGTGATGATACCAATAAGATTTGAGATTCAATTGTGAGTAACTGTTAACAGGATTAGTTGTGATTGTCGCAATGGTAATTGTAGAAGATGTGTAACTAAAACAGGGGAGTAGTTAAATCTTTCATTTCAGGAACAGACAATCCCAGGACCATCAAGAAGGAAGAGTAGGAGTGGAGCATGAGAGCCTACCTAAAATGCAGCAACAGCAGACATGGTGGCAGAGGTGAAGGCATGGAGAGACAGAGCAGTTGTGGGCTCTATGCCCATGGGCTGAGTAAGGCTATACGCACGCGGAGGCTGGCTTGAAGAATATGCCCTTTAGGACAGGTACATGAACATACATTTTTTGGTTTTTGTATACATCCAATATTTTTGCTTTGTTCATTTGTGAAATCTAAGATGTAAAAGGGGAGCCACATGGAGGAAGTAGGATAACTGTTGTTGAGAGACTGTTGTAATCATTGAAATGAAACAAAGCGTATAATGTGTTGAATGTAAAGCCAATGATCTTATTCATCAACCTTCACTCAAAGCACAATAAAAAGTTAAAAAAATTTAAATTAAATTAAAAAAAATAATGTATCAGACAAGGCACTACCCTTAACATCTACAGAAAACTTGATCACGTCAACAACAACACAATAACTAATCAAAAACGAGCCCAGGGACATGAACAGATGCTTCAACAAAGGCATTCAGGCAGCCAACAAACGCATGAAGACATGCTCAAGATCATTAGTCATTGTTGTTAAGTGCCGTTGAGTCAGTTCCGACCCATAGTGACCCTGTATAAGGTTTCCGAGAAGTAGCTGGTGAGCTTGAACCACCGACTGCAGTTCAAACGGCTTTGCAGTCTGGCGCATTAACCTACAGCGCCATAGAGATATCCAAATCAAAACAATGAGTTATCATCATCCGTGCATTAACAGCAAAGTTAAAAAAAAAAAAATGCTGGTGAAGGTGTAGAGACTGCACCCTCCGTACACTGGTAGTGGAATTATAAAATGGAACCACCACTGTGGAAAAAGGTATCGTGCTTCCTTAGAAAGTTGGAAATAGAAATATCATATGACTCAGCAACCCCAACTTGTTTACGAGGGGGCTTCAAAAAGGTTTTCACACAAGTCAGAAACATTCTTTGATGGTTATCAGGTGGTAGACACATATTCACTTGGGTGAAAGGGAGGCAGTGCTAGGGGGCTTCAAAAGCCTCATGGAAAAACAGAATTAAAAGAGAAAGGAATTTTTCCATGAGCTTTTTGAAGTCCCCTCATACACAAAGGAGGAGGTCAGCCAAAAATGGAGAAGGTAAAAAAGAAGACACTGAAAGGGGAAAAAAAAGTTCTTCAAATGTTGTCTTCTGACTCCAATACCAGGGGTTTGGGCCCCATTTTGAATTTTTTTAAGTCAAATTTATTGAAAACCTGTATTTTTAAAATTGTTGTGTGATTTAATTAATTTGTAGATGTTCTTCCTGTATAGGCAAGTCTCTAGATTTCCTTTTTTTATCCTAAATAACATTTTATTGAGTTTCTGGTGAAAAATTACACAGCAAATTAGGCTTCCATTTGACAATTTCTACACAGATTGTTCAATGACTCTAGCTACACCCTCTACAATGTGTCAGCCTTCTCTTTAACTCCTTTCTGGTTGTTCAGTTTAATGTAGTGGATTTTGTTACTTTTGAAGACCTTTGACGTAACTAAAGAAAATCTTTGGCCCTTTTCTTATATTTGGTTCCAGGCAGAAGGCTACAGAAAGCAAGTATGAGCGGCCCTCATCCACAGGGGTGAGAGCCTCATGGCCAATGGCTGAGATCAGTGGGTGCGTCTCCAATTCCATTTCCTCACCTTGGGGAGATACTTCTCCTTCTGGGCCTCATTCCCATTGCGCACAAGTTGGTTGATGCAGAGGTTGGAGTGGGCACCGTAACTGAGTCCTACAGCTGCAGAAGCTCGGGATATCTCTTCCATTACCACCACATGATCCAGATAGCCCAGGCCTGAGCCGCCATACTGAACTGGGGGGGGGGGAGGCAGGGGGAGGAGTAGAGCAGGGGAGAAAAAACAAACAACAGCAGAGATTCAAATGGAACATTGTTAAGACTCTTACATTTACTAGCAAAAAATAAACATTTGTTCAACCACGATTTATAGACTCCCATTGACCTGGAGATGAGAGAAAGAGGAAGGACTGGTGGTCTGAAGAGTGACAAGACCTGGGGATTCCTGAGCCCATGGACTAGGACATAGCCACAGAGGGCTAGAGCTGAGAGTGAAGCATCCAGCTGACATGAAGTAAAGGGAGATGCAAAAGAACATCCAAACTTGCAGATAGTACCCATTTGACCTAGCCTTAATGGCTTGATAATCAGAACTCAACTAGAGGAAGATAAAAAAAATTTTTTTTGTTGTTAAAAGGAAATGTGTATAAATTGCTACAATTTGATGAACTTGACCTATACTTATGGATGTAGTAGCTCAAAATACCAACTGAGAGGGAAGGAGTCTTTACATCAAGTATCAGTCCTATCCCCTCTGTATACAGGGTAGATAGGGACATGCAACTTAGGCATTAGTTACCTAAAATGAGGGGTCGATAAAGGTACGAAGTGACTGGCTTACATGTTTTCAAGAGGGAGTTTAGTTTAAGGGTGTGCAGGGGAAGGTAGAATCTATACTGAATAGCTTTCATATTGTCTAGATGGGTCTGGTGAAAAGAGATAGGGATAACATTCTTATGATTCAATAGTTAGTAATTGTTATAATGACTAATTGTGACTGTCACAACTGTAAAGGTAAAAGTTTGTAACAAAAATGGGGGAGTAGTTAATCTTATAGCACAGAAACAGAGGACCCTAGGATCATCAAGGGAGAAGAACACAAGCGGAATGCGGGACCCTATCCAATGGAGTCCTGGTGTGGCACTGTGGGTTTATGCGCCAGACTGCAAAGCCATTTGAACTGCAAGGTCGGCGGTTCAAGCTTACCAGCCACTCCTTAGAAACCTATACAGGGTTGCTATGGGTCGTAATTGACTCGATGGCACTTAACAACAACATCAAACAACTTCTTCAGTCTGAAATTGATCAAACATGCAATCAAAATGCCTTGATAATTACTAGTGATTCAAATGGAAAAGTTAGGAACAAAGAGGAAGAATCAGTAGTTGTAAAATATGGCCTTGGTGATAAGAGATGCTACTGGAGATTGCATAAGAGAATTTTTTAAGACTTAGGACTTATTAATTAAAAATGCTTTTTACAAAGACATAAACTGACTATACGTGCGGACCTCACCAGATAGAAAACACAGGAATCAAGTTGACTACGTCTGTGGGGAGAGACAATGGAGCAGCTCAATATCATAAGTCAAAACAATGTCAGGGGTTGATATGGAACATATCCAGATCAACTGCTCACATGCAAGCTGGAGCTGAAAAAAAGGAAAACAAACTCATGAGAGCCACCACCACTCGTCTGTCAGTTTGTTATACTGTGGTGGCTTGTGAGTTGCTGTGATTCTGGAAGCTATGCCATGGGTATTTTAAATACCAGCAGGGTCACCCATGGTGGACAGGTTTCACATGAGCTTCCAGATGAACACAGACTAGGAAGGAGTGACGAACTACTTCCAAATATTTAATCACTGAAAACCTTATGAATAGTAAAGAAACACTGTCAGATATAGTGCCAGAAAATGAGCCCCTCAGGTTGGAAGGCACTCAAAATGTGACTGGAGAAGAGCTGCCTCCTCAAAGTACAGTTGACTGTGATGACACGAATGGATTAAAGCCCGTGGGAGTAAAACCCGTGGGACCTTCATTTGCTGATGGGGCACAACTCAAAATGAAGAGAAACAGCTCTAAACATCCACTGAAAATAGGAACACAGAATGTACAAAGTATAAATCTGGGAAAATTGGAAGTTGTTAAAAATGTAATGAAACGCATAAACATCGATATCTTAGGCATTAGTGAGCTGAAATGGACTGGTATTGGCCATTTTGAATCTGATGACCTCATGGTTTACTATGCCGAAAATGACAAATTGAAGAAGAATGGTGTTGCATTGATCAGTCATGAGGTACAACGCTGTCTGTGATAGGATAATATCCATGCGACTACAGGCAAGACCAATTAATACCACTATTATTCAAATTTACACACCAACCACTATAGCCAGTGAGGATGAAAAGAGAAAAATTCTACCAACTTCTTCAATCTGAAATTGATCAAACATGCAATCAAGATTTATTTATCATTACTGGTGATTGGAATGCAAAGGTTGGGAGCAAAGAGGAAGGAACAGTAGTTGGAAAATATGGCCTTGGTGATAGAAATGATGCTGGAGAACGCATGATAGAATTCTGCAAAATCAATGATTTGTTCATTTCAAATACCTTCTTTAGACATCACAGGAGACAACTACACACATGGATCTCACCAGACAGAATACATAAAAATCCAATTGACTACATCTGCAGAAAGAGACAATGGAAAATCTCCATATCATCAGTTAAAACAAGG